TTCCTAGGGAGACTGTAAGGGCAACTTGCGCTGGAGGACGGCTTGACGACCAGCTAGAGAGTTGCCAGGAGCAATTCCCGTACCAGTAGAGGAGTCCGCAGGCAGCGACATAGACGGGCGCAGACAGCGCCGAACACTGGGTACGGACGGAGTCGCAGTCAGCGACAGGAGACGCAGGCCGCGTCAGTTAAGGAGATCGCAGACAGCGGTCAGGAGGCGCAAGGAGCGCCAAGCACGGGGTCCGCAGACAGCGGGCCAGAAGACGCAAGGAGCGTCAAGCATCGCCTGCCGCAGCCAGCGGCCAGAAGGCACAGGTGCCGCCATTTGGAGAGCGCTGAGGCAGCGCCGTATTTGGACCTGTTAGGATGCAGCATTCCCCGAAGAGGAGCTCGCGGCTGAGAGGAGGGGAAGCCACCCCTACAGCAGCGCGAGCGGATCAGCAGCCAGTGAGTAGTGGAGCAGAAAACCGGCCGCGAGTGAACATAACCTCGGCGGCGGCCATTTCTAGCCCAGCCACTACGGTGACTACAGTAGCGTCCCAACCGAGGAGTACTGCTGTCACAGCTGCGGATCAGAGCCGGAGACGAACCAGTCCCTCACGTCGGACCTTTTGAAAAGGATGCGGCGTTGGAGGAGGAGCTAAAGCAGGTTAAAGCCCTGAACAGTGTGAGCACCGCCAATTGCGCGCCATCGCAGTTGGCCCAAGCGCAGATGGCGCCAACAGTGGAGCGTCGGGGTGGCCGCCATCTTGGAGGCGGACCGCCATTAGCCACATCTAACGGTGAGGCCTCAACTAACGGGGTCGGGCCGGTCCCACATAGCGGTGTCGGTGCAGCAGTGCGGCCTGCACGCTGCCGCCATCTTGGAGTGGACCGCCATTGCTAACGACTAGCAATCATTTTGTGGAGCCACTGTGTGCTACAAGTGTTGCGCAGACAGCGCATGGATTCGTGCTACCGGGCGGGAGCACCCACAACGTGGCAACAGCATCGCCATTTTTGGGTCCTACGCCCCGATAACGCCGAATGAATCCCAAAGAGTGTACGGGCCAAGGAAGCTTCCGGACCTGCCTGTATTTGGAGGGCAGCCCGAGGAGTGGCCGATCTTAACTGTGCGTTTGTGGAGACGACCCAAGCATACAACTGCACAGACTTGGAGAACAACCAGAGGTTGTTGAAGCGCTAAAGGATGAAGCACGCGAGACAGTGAAGTCGCTGCTGATTCACCCTGGGAACGTCAGCGCCGTGATGGAGCAGCTGCGCTTTAGGTTTGGCCGACCGGAGCAGCTTATACGCAGCCAGCTGAACAGCGTGCGAGAGGTGCCGCCGATTTCGGAGCAGCACCTGGCGAGGATCGTTCCCTTCGCAACCCGAGTGAGTAACCTCACGGCCTTCTTGCAGTCAGCGAAGGCGGAGCAGCACCTGCGGAACCCAACGCTAATGGAGGAGCTTGTGGCAAAGCTTCCTACGAGCAAGCGAGTAGACTGGGCCAGGCACGCTGCATCGATCGAGCCCTTTCCCACTTTGGCACACTTCAGCGTGTGGCTGCAGGAGTACGCAAACGTCGTGTGTACGTTTTGGACGTCGAGGGAAAGGAGCCGAGGCGTCGAGTTCTGCATGCGAGCGTCGACCAGAACGGATGCGGTCAACAGGATGATCGGCATGGAGGTTGTCCAATTTGTGGAGGGCAACATGCTGCGACGAGCTGCAGGGTGTTCATTGGAGCTTCGCCACCGGGTAGGTGGAGCATGGTGAGGAGGCACCGGCTCTGCTTCACATGCTTACGGAGTGGACATACGACCAGAACCTGCGATGTACATGGCGAGTGCCAGATCAACGGATGCCGCAGATTGCATCACCGTCTGCTACATGGTGCGGACGAGGAGCGAAGATGGCCGGCGCAGCGAGGTGGCTTCAGGAGCCACAACGGAGGAAACCAGCTGTCAGCAGTTTCCAGACGCGGCCCGGACAGGAGGTCTTCGCCACGAGGTGGTTACAGGGACCACGAGGGGAGCCTACAGTCGGCTGTCCCCAGAAACAGCCTGGAGATAAGGGCCCCGCAGCCAGCGGAGGCGCCCGTGCAGAGGAACTTAAACTGCGTTGACGCCGAAGGAGGCCGACTTTGTTCCGTATACTGCCAGTAACGCTGTACGGAGCTGGTCGCCAGGTGGATACATACGCGCTCTTGGATGAAGGATCCTCCGTCACGATGATCGATGACGAGCTACGGAGGGATCTGGGAGTGCGAGGCGTACATCGACAGCTGAATATACAATGGTTTGGAGGAAGGGCCAGCAGAGAGCCCAGCAACGTGGTGAGCCTAGAGATAAGTGGAGCTGGGAAGTCCACTCGCCACGCTTTGAGGAACGTGTACTGTAACGAACTGATTTTGTGTGTCTGCTCGCTACGAGATTCGTGCGGCTAGCTCAGAAGATTGTGTGTTCGTCCCACCAAATTTATATGACGTGATTGCCCGTAGATCAGTGAGAAAACAAAGTGTTCAACTGGTAACAGTGGGATTTATTCTCGTGGTATTGGTACAGCGGGTGCGTGGCTATGCTGGCTTCTGTATCTCCTTGTTCTGGTTCCGCCGGCTGCTGGTGCTCCTCCTTCTGGCTTGTCGACGCGTTGACTCGGCTTCCGCTTGGCTCCTGGGTCTCGGGACGCTCGTAGTGGACGCCTCTGTTCACTCGCCGACGCGCTGCCTCGGGGTCGCTTGTTGCGCCTTAGACCCGCAGAGAGTTCGGCCTTGTGGGCTTAGGGAAGCGTCACCGTTCTCAGACTAGGGTGAACAAGCTTTGCTCTCCAGGCTGACGCCCTTTCGAGGCAATACCTGTCCCTTGCTCTGTCCCGGACGGTCCCGCTAGGTTCTTGCTCAGTTCGCGCTGACAGTCAAGGCTGCCGCCCGGAGGCTGTCTAGCGGTTCACTTCGCTTTACGCCTAGCGCAGACGAACGTTCCACCCGGCTTCACCCTAATGCGTGACGTCCGCGACGCTCCTGCGCTCCCCAATGAGCTCCGCGCGGCGATGGTAACGTGGCTGCCGGAAATGTCTGCTGGCGTCGCTGTCGATGTCCTCTGCGCTGTCTTCTGACCAGTATCTCGTTGTTCTGGCGCTCGGGGAGCTGGGCGGTCGCTGCTCGGGAACTTCGCCGGTAATCGCAGGGCTCTCCAGGCTTCCGCCTCTTGAAACCGCAAATCGATCTACCGCTCGTCCGTCACGCCAGGTCCTGCTTGGTCGGGCAAGGCACACTGGGTCGCAGACAACTTTCCTCCCCAAGCTGACGGCTCTTCGTCGTAGGACTCTTGCTTCTCTCTGACAGACCCGCCGGGCGACTCGCCAGGGTGTGGTCGTGACAAAGTTAGAAAACAAACGCCTTGACTTAGCCGCGTGATGCCTTCCAGAACTCAGCCACCTGTGTCTCAATTCGGAGATTCCTGATGTCCTAATCCCGAACGTCTCGACGTGGCGATCTTGCTCCTTGTATGCTTCCCACGGCGCTGCTTCCGACGACTCGCTTGGTTGTAGCTCCCTCGTAGATTACTTGCTTGACTGATTGCTCACTTGGTACTTTGACTGATCTTGAAGGCTTGACTCCTCGTGATCGACTGATCCAGCTGCCAGCGCTCTGCGGCCTTATATAGGGCCTCCAAGCACCGTTATTTCCCTTTTGCGCACGGCCCGCTGGATCTCTCCACTCTGGGTCCAAAGTTCGTGCCTCCTGGATGACCCACTTGTTCTTTATGTACCGCTTCCAATAGATGTTCCGCCCACTGCTGCCGTTCCGCTGATTCCCGTGCCGCTTGTGGCACGCCTGTGTGCCGCTCCACTGCCGAGATGTGGCACTTCCTCTCCCGGTCCAAAGTTCACGGGAGAGTCCAAAGCCCAGTGGAGTTCCGTTATCCCCTTCTGCATACGGCACTCTTGCTCTGCCCGCGAAGTCTCCATTCTCTCTCGATCTCCATCCTTGGTCTCCATCTCTCTCGCTCCCTTCATTGGTCTCCAAACTCTCTCGCTCTCCATCCTTGGTCTCCAATCTCTCTCGCTCTCCTTCATTGGTCTCCAAACTCTCTCGCTCTCCTTCGTTGGTCTCCAAACTCTCTCGATCTCCACCCTTGGTCTCCAAACTCTCTCGTTCTCCTCGCCGCGCCGTTACTACGCGAATTCGCCGCGTATCTGGTAAGCGGCCGGCCATCTGCTGCTGCTTCTATTTGTGGGGAGTTATTCAACTCCTCACAGTACTCCGTTTCGAGCCTGAGTCTGCCGATGCAGACGTTAGGTCGACGAGATGTCCAGGGCGTGCATAAGGATGCGCGTCTGCCGATGAAGCCCTACATCAACGTGGTGCCTAAGTTGCTCATCGGACTGGACCATGGACATTTGGGATTGCCACTTAGGGCGAGGCGGTTTGCCAGAGAGGGACTGTATGCGGCCGCAACCGAGCTTGGATGGGATGTGTTTGGGCCAGTAAGTGGGCAATCGACTACGCCGTCACCGAGGTCCTGCCTTCTAGCCGTGACAATGGATGATACGATGGAAAAGATGGTGGAGGACTACTTCGAGATGGAAAGCTTTGGTGTGAAGCTCGCGCCACAGGTCGCAGGCAGCGATGACGCGCGGGCACAAAGGATCCTCGAAGATACCACGGTGAAAGTGGGGCGTCGCTACCAGACGGGATTACTCTGGAAGGACGACTACTCTGTGCTGCCACGGAGCTATGAGATGGCGCACAGACGGCTGATCAATGTGGAGAAGAAGTTGAAGCGCAACGGGCAGTTGGCGCTGGAATACGATCGTATCATCAAGGATTACGTATCCAAAGGATATGCGAGGAAGCTGCAGCAGGATGAGGTCGCGGTGACGAGCGACCGGCTATGGTATTTGCCACATTTTGGTGTCGAAAGCCCGAACAAGCCCGGTAAGGTCCGGCTTGTGTTCGATGCTGCAGCCAAGGTTGGAGGAACCTCGCTAAATTCGGAGCTGGACAAGGGGCCTCAGCCGTGCTCTTCCACTTCAGGGAAGGAGCAGTCGGAGTCTGCGGTGACATCAAGGAGATGTTCCACCAAGTGCTGATCCGACCCGAGGATCGATGTTCCCAACGATTCCTTTGGAGGGATGGCAACGACGATCGAGACCCGGATGTGTACGAGATGAACGTAATGACCTTTGGAGCAGCCTGCTCGCCGAGCGCTGCGCATTACGTAAAGACGGTGAATGCCCTGAAGTTTCGGGATTCAGACTCGAGGGCAGTCAAGGCCATCATCGACTACCACTACGTCGATGACTATGTGGACAGTTTCGCTACAGAGAGCGAAGCTATAAGTGTATCTACCCGAGTGAAGGAGATACATGCGGAGGCTGGATTTGAGTTATGCCAGTTTTCATCCAGCTCACCCATCGTGGAAGCGGTGTTGGGACAACCCGGACAAGTCAAGAGCGTCGGATGGGGTGAGGCTGAGCAGAAGATCCTTGGAATGCGCTGGCAGGTAGCCACGGACGACTTCAGATTCAACGTGGAGTATCACCGAGTGCCAAGTAGCGTTCTAAGTGGAGATCGAGTCCCTACAAAGTGGGAGTATTTGAGCCTGCTGATGTCAACGTTCGACCCATTGGGATTCCTGTGCTGCCTGATGATTACAGCGAAGCTGTTGTTGAGAGAGATCTGGAGGCAGAAGATCCAGTGGGACGAACCACTACCGGAGGAGATAGGCAGAGCCTTTGCGGCCTGGCGCAGGGAGATGGACGCCGTGGGACAGTTCCGATGCCCTCGTCACTATTTCGGGCATGGAGCAGTCCGGACCGTCGAGTTGCACGTGTTCGTGGATGCAAGTCAATCTGCATTCGCGGCGGTGGCCTATTGGAGGGTCACGTATGAGGATGACAACGTGATGGTTAGCTTCGTGTGCGCAAAGACGAAGTGCGCGCCGATGAGAACGATGTCGATCCCAAGGTTGGAGCTGCAGGCAGCGGTTCTTGGAACCAGACTGATGAACACTGTCCAGGAGGAGCACAGTGTGGACATCAGCGAGACGGTGTTGTGGACGGACTCAAAGACGGTGCTGAGATGGATCGGCAGCACCCACCGCCGGTACAAGCAGTTTGTTGGCAACCGAGTGGCGGAGATTTTGGAGTCGTCGAAGGTTTCCCAGTGGAGGTGGGTACCTACAGCTGACAACGCAGCGGATGATGCGACGCGGTCGCAGAATAAGGCGGACCTTAGCCCGGAATCACGTTGGCTAAGTGGACCCGCATTTTTGAGGCAGCCAGCGAGCGGCTGGCCGGCGCCTGAGGAGGGGACTAAGCGTGTTCCAGATGCGCCTGAGGAGGGAACTAAGCGTGTTCCAGATGCGCCTGATGAAGAGGAGATGCCCAGTGAGTTTGCATTGGTGGCCGCGGATGAATTTGCCATTCCGTTCCAGAGATTCTCGAGCTTCAGTCGCCTGGGGAGGACCACAGCATGGGTCTTGAGGTTTGCGCGTTGGTGTCGCAAGCAGAGAAGCGAGATCGAGGAGTACGGACTCACTGCATCGGAGTGTGAGGCCGCGGAGAACCTGTTAGTCAGACAGGCCCAGTTGGAGTCGTACCCCGACGAGATGAGGTCGGCGGAATGCGGAAAGGACGTCGCCAGCTCGAGTGAGATTCGAGGTCTGGCACCTTACGTGGATGAACATGGAGTTCTGCGAGTTTATGGCAGAGTTGATGCCGCGCTGTGCATGCCGTACAGTGCGAGGAGGCCCGTAATACTGTCACACAGGCACAGTCTTACGGAATTGATTGTGAGGCACTTTCATGCCCAGATGAAGCATCAAAACGTGGATGCGACGATTGCTCAGATTCGGACGAGATTCTGGGTCACGAAGATGAGACGAGTGCTGAAGGAAGTAATCTCGTCGTGCAACGAATGCAAGTTGCAGCGAACGCGGCCGATGCCGCCGATAATGGGACCCCTACCAGAGGATCGACTGGAAGCGGGAGGATGGCCATTCAAGTACACCGGATTGGACTACTTTGGGCCACTGCTGGTGACTGTATCCCGTCACAGAGAGAAGCGTTGGGTCGCCTTGTTCACATGCTTGACGACAAGGGCGATTCATCTGGAGTTGGCTCATGACCTGTCGACGGATTCCTGCATAATAGCGATCAGGAACTTCGTCTGCCGTAGAGGACCAGTACATAGACTGCGGAGTGATAACGGCAAGAACTTCGTGGGAGCTGATAGGGAGGCCAAGCGATTTGCAGACGTGTTCGAGACGGAGAGGATACAGAGTGAGTTGTCCAGCAGAAGCATTGAATGGGATTTCAATTGCCCATCGAACCCGTCTGAGGGCGGAGTATGGGAGCGGATGGTGCAGTGCGTCAAACGAGTGCTGCGTCATACCCTGAAGGAAGTCGCGCCGAGGGATCATGTGTTGGAGAGTTTCCTGATCGAGGCGGAGAATGTAGTCAACTCGCGTCCGCTCACCCACTTGCCGGTGGATGCGGACCAAGAGGCGCCGTTGACGCCAAATGACCTGCTCAAGGGAGCAGCTAACCTGCCGAATACGCCTGGATTGGATGCGGAGCTGCCCAAGGAGGGTTCTACGCGAAAGCAGTGGAGGATTGCTCGCATGCTGCGAGACCGTTTCTGGAGGAGGTGGGTCCTGGAGTACCTGCCTACGCTTGTGCGCCGCGAAAAGTGGTGCCGGAGAACGGAGCCCATCCGCCAGGGCGATATGGTCTTCGTCTGCGATCCTGCCTTGCCCAGACGAGAGTGGTGCAAGGGAATCGTGGAGGAGGTCTACAGCGGAGCTGATGGAGTCGTCAGACGCGCTACTGTGCGCGTGAACGACAATGGCCTATCTCGGACAATGTTGCGGCCCGTCTCAAAACTTGCAGTTTTGGATTTGAGTGAAGCGGTTCTTCACGGGGTCGGGGATGTCGACGGTCGAACATTGTAATCGATAGGTAGACTAAGTATTGTAAGAGAAATCTAGTATTTGTTAATTTATCCGATCTCGTATGGATTTCTTGGCCCTTGAAGTGCGGGCCTACTAATATCGGTTTAATGGATGCCGCCATAAATTGTGCTTTTCATTGTCTTGTGAATCGTAGGAGGGCACACTGCGGTAAGATTAAGTTAGTTTGAAATGTATAAGTCTGATTTGAATTGTTAACAGAATAAAACGATCGCCCCGAGCGACTGCCACGAGCGCCACCAGGCGCACGCCGCCCTTAAAGTTCACCCTCTCTTCGGACCTACGCGTGTGGGGTAGTCGTTAACAAGGCAACTCCATATGATGCAAGACACAATGATAGCGCAGTTCGCAGGGCACAACCAAAGAGACTGGGACGAAAAATGGCCGGAAATCATGCTGGCAGTAAACACGAGCGTTTCAGAATCCACTGTAACCTGTGACACCGTCGTTCATTACCCAAGGCAGAGAACCAAGACTACCGAGCACCCTATACGACAGAGAAACCGTAGAGACCGGACGACCGACTGAGACCCCGGAGGAGAAGGCAAACAAACTCAGAGAAATATTTGAGATTGTAAGGCGGAATCTGGAGAAAGCATCCCAGGATCAGGCTAGGCATTATAACCTAAGGAGGAGGCAATGGACGCCAAAGGTGGGTGACGTCTTGTGGGCCAAGGAACACCACTTATCAAAAGTAGCCGAGGGGTTCGCAGCAAAATTGGCCCCAAGATACGACGGACCTTACCAAGTCATAGGTTTTGCGTCACCAGTAATCTGCAAAATACGACACATAAAAACAAAGAAAGAGCGGACCATCCACGTAAGCGAGCTGAAACAGAAACAAACGGAAAACACAAGCCAGCGGCTACAGCAAACAGACACAACAGACGCAAAACAACATTGAAAGTCCAAGGATACCTCCAAGGATGCCCAAAGGATACTACAAAAAGAGCCCAAAGACATCTCCCAGGATGCCCAAAGGATACTAAGAAAGGAGTCCAAGGATACCTCAAAGGGTGCCCAAATGATACTACGAAAGGAGTCCAAGGATACCTCCAAGGATGCCCAAAGGTTACTACGAAAGGAGCCCAAGGATACCTCCAAGGATGCTTAAAGGATACTACGAAAGGAGTCAAAGGATACCTCCAAGGATGCCCAAAGGATACTACGAAAGGAGTCAAAGGATACCTCCAAGGATGCCCAAAGGATACTACGAAAGGAGTCCAAGGATACCTCCAAGGATGCCCAAAGGATACTACGAAAGGAGTCCAAGGATACCTCCAAGGATGCCCAAGGATACTACGAAAGAAGTCAAAGGATACGTCCAAGGATTCCCAAAGGATACTACGAAAGGAGTCAAAGGATATGTCCAAGGACTGCCAAAGGATACTACGAAAAGAGTCCAAGGATACCTCCAAGGATTCCCAAAGGATACTACGAACAAATTCCAAGGATACCTCCAAGGATTCGAAAGGGATACTACAAACCGACTCCAAGGATACTACAGGGCAACTACAAAGGCGCAATGTAACACATAAAGGACATCAGGAGAACGTTAAGAACACAAAGGGAGCAAACCAGAGCGTCTAAGGTCTCGATTGGGACTGATCGGAGAAAAGAAAAAACACGCATCAAAAGTCTGCCGAAGGAAGGGGGAAGACGGCACAGAGCAGAGAGCTGTACCGTAGATCTGGGTAGTAAGAAGGAGAGGCCGATGGAAATAGCGGGATTGAGCAAAGAGGAAGGCTCGGAACCGAGGTGTCGTTAAAGGGAGCCCAGGCTCCAGCTGCACAATCAAAATCAACGAGCATAATGAGCACACGTGTGACGAGGAGCGAAGCGCGCAGGATGTTGGCTGCCCACCAGCCGTCCGGAGGATCCAGCCCGGGGCAAGGATGATCGACAACCCGGCCTACCCGAACCTCGCGGCGGATCTCCGGGCGGGGCGTCCCCGAGCCGGTCATCAGCTCCGACAGCGACGTCGAGTTGGTAGAAGATCCGCGGGTGGAGCAGCGGCGATGGCGGCTTCGCAAAGCGGTCAATCGGGTCGACGGCCCATCCCGACTGGCGCGGCGGAGGTAGAGTGGGCCAGCGAAGAGCCGCCCCAGGATCAGCTGGATCCCAGTACCCATACCGAGTCTGTGGTAGCGGCTACGTGGGAATTTCGACGGAAGTGCGAGGCGCGAAGGCGGAGCGAGGAGCGGCGAATGAAGGAGATGGAGGAGTCGCCGGAGTGGCAGGCCCAACTGCGGGCGGCCGAGGAGGAGGAGCAGCAGCAGCAGGACAGGGCCATCGACGCCAATGCCAACAGGGAGCGCGACGGTCACCGCGGAGCCAAATGAGCCGCTGGAGCGAGGACCCTGGGTGTGGCCTGAGCCTGTGGAAGGCGGCCGACCTCCGCTCAAGCGGCAGCACTCGGCGCCCGAAGTGTCCGAGGTGGTGGCACGGCCGAAATTGTCGCGGACGGTATCGGCGCCGGAGGGCTAGCGATGGCGAGAGATCGCTGAGCACGAGTGGCCCGAAGGGATCGCGGAGGCACCGGCGGTGAAGGAGGCTCGCATCCTGGGCGGCAGGCACAGCGTGCGCGTTTGGAGAGAGGGGCGCGCGTTCCGCGTCCGGTTGGGGCTGGCGGGCACGAGAGTGTTCGAGGAGCGCCCGAATAAAGTTTGAATAAAAGAAACAGAACGGAGTTTGAAAACCGGCATAGGACGGGAAGCGCGGCTGAAACAGGGGCCAGAAGAAAGGGGCATACATGGCAGCACCGGCATCCTGAAATTCACATTGGGTTAATACAGGAAGCAGCCAAACGATACTAAAATACTCACCTGCAGCGAAGCAAATGCGAAGTCCTTTCCGCACTTGCTCTCGAGTGTTGCCAGCGTGAAGCCAGGCTCAGCCGGCTGAGGACGATTGAAGGGCGAGAGAGAAAGACAAGAGGCGAGAGAGGTCGTATGGAGAGAGACAGGATGAAATAGAAAGGAGTGAGGAAATGCGAAAACTTACCTAGAAAGTTGCAAAATTACCATGAGCCAGGGAAGGGGGCGCCTCGATAGGCGATCGATTGGCACTGGACGATAGTGCGATCGATGGGCACACGAAAATGGAAACATCGGCCAAGGTGGAAATATCGCAACGAGCAGGTGGCAACACCGCAGAAACATCGATCACGCACGAATGGTGTGACCAGGAAGAGGAACCAACAAAAGGAGTAGAACGCAGCAATGAGCGGCGAGCTGGGGATCGATAACCCACGAGTATCGATGTCCCAGTGGGGTCATGGAAAATATCGGCGCGGGAGATTCAAGTTGTTACGAGATCCTCCTCCAGCGCTGTAGAAACTCAACAAAGTTAAGAGCGTCGAAGGAGCAACGAGGGAGCGCCGCGGGAATCACAAGGACTCGAAGGCTAGGATAAACAAGAAAACGCCGGAGAGTAGGAATAAGTTGTAGCTTTTTCCCGAAGTAAGGGGGGAATGTGAGGAGGTAAATAACTCCCCACAAGTAGAAGCAGCAACAGATGGCCGGCCGCTTACCAGATACGCGGCGAGCTCGCGTAGTAACGGCGCGGCGAAGAGAGTTTGGAGACCAATGATGGAGAGCGAGAGAGTGTGGAGACCAAGAACGGAGAGCGAGAGAGTTTGGAGACCAAGCATGGAGATCGAGAGAGAATGGAGACTTCGCGGGCAAGGCAAGAGTGCCGTGTGCAAAAACAGGATAACGGAACTCCATCGGACTTTGGACTCTCCCGTGAACTTTGGACCGGGAGAGGAAGTGCCACATCTCGGCAGTGGAGCGGCACACAGGCGTGCCACAAGCATCACGGGAATCAGCGGGATGGCAGCAGTGGGCGGAGCATCGATTGGAAGCGGTACGTGAAGGACAAGTGGGTCAACCAGGAGTCACGGACTTTGGACCCGGGGTGGAGAGATCCAGCGGGCCGTGCGCAAAAGGGAAATTACGGTTCCCGGAGGCCCTATATAAGGCCGCAGTGCGCTGGCAGCTGGATCAGTCGATCACAAGGAGTCAAACCGTCAAGATCACTCAGATACCAAAGTGAACAATCAAACAACCAGATAATCTACAAGGGAGCAACAGCAAGTCGAGTCGCCAGAGAAGCAGCGCCGTTGGTGCCTACGAGGAGCAAGATTGCTACGTCGAGACGTTCGGGATTGGAATATCAGGAATCTCCGAATTGAGACGCAGGTAGCTGAGGTCCAGAGGGCATCACACGGCTAGGTCAAGGCGGTCGATTAACTTTATCCACAAAGTCCTGGCGTTACGCCTGGAGAGAGTATAACAAGCCAGAAGGGAGAGCGGTCGATCGCTAGGGTCTCGAGTGGAATTGTCCAGGGGAGCCCTACGGATTCGACCCGAGTACCAAAAGCCACGCGGAAACGTCCCGGACCAAAAGCAAAACGGTGAGGCTAGGGTGGAACGGTCGATTACAATAGGCGTGGAAGCGAAGTAAAGCGCGAGGCAGCTTCCTGGCGTTCCGCCTTGACTGTCCGCGCGGGCTGAGCGGAAACCCCAGTGGGACCATCCGGGACAGAGCAAGGGACAGGCGGCGGTGTGTCGAAAGGAGCGATCCTGGAGAGCACAGCTTCTGTGAATTTTGTTCTTTCTCACTGAGCTACTGGGACGAACACACAATACACTGAGCTAGCCGCACGAATCTCGTAGCGAGCAGACCACAAAAATCAGTTCGTTACAATACTGTGATGTTTGTGTATCCGTGATCCCCATGCTCCTGAAATTTGTTCAGCTGTAGAGCCATCCGCTCAGATGCGTAGCGACCAATAGCATACGTCGGAAAAAGTATGCACAAAGGATGCAAAATAAATGTGTTGATCGAGCCAACCAAAGCTAAAGTGAAGTTTTGCATAACCAAAGACTAATATCCTCAAGTAATACAATTGGATAACAAGTGAAAATCAATAAAAAAACATTGGAAGCATTTAAACATGCATTGAAATATATTTAAACCAACCGAATCAATAGAAAAAGTGCGAATCATAAAGAACAATTAGAGAGGACGAATCTCTCCACCATCCGTTGAAGAAGTCGCATGCCTCTGGCATATTATATATATATATTTTGTGTTTAAGTG